CATCTGCAGATGGTGGAATGAAGAACTGCACATAAATAGAGGACAAATTGCTGTGGAAAGGTTAAATTTGGAAAACCTTGGAATTGGTCCAAAAAGCATAAATGAATAGTTCTAGTCTAGAACCAACAGTTCTTTTGAAAGGAAGACAAAAATTAGAAGCCAGAAGATACTAAAAGGAATGAAAGAATAGAGTCAACAAAGGGGGAATGGGAAAACAATTTTTAGTTTATGTATATACACACAAACCCAGACAACACACACACAAGAATTAAGTCTCTTTTCTTAACCTGTACTTTTTTCTCTTCATGCTTTGTATATGACTTCTCTTCCTCTTGCTAACTGGAAGGTGCAGAGGGTATGAAAGTGCTAGAACTGATCAGTCATTGGATGCATACACAGCTGGCATTTGAATGCCTAGGCTGTTTAGACCCTTCACCAGCTTGGCAGCTCTCTGTACATGCTCCAGCACCTCAAGGTCCTTCCTGTAGTGAGGGACCCAGAACTGCACACAGTACTTGAGGTGCAGCTTCACCCGGGCTGAGTACAGGGGTACAATCACCTCCCTGCTCCTGCTGGTCTTGCTGCTCCTGATACAGGCCAGGATGCTGTTGGCCTTCTTGGCCACCTGGGCACACTGCTGGCTCATGTTCATCTGACTGTCAACAGCACTCCCAGGTCCTCTTCTGCTGGGCAGCTTTCCAGCCACTCTTCCCCAAGCCTCTAGTGCTACTTTGGAGTTGTTGTGACTGAAATGCAGGACTCAGGACTTGGCCTTGTTGAACCTCATACAATTGGCCTTGTCCTATTGATCCAGTCTGTCCAGGGCCCTCAGAAGAGCCTTCCTACACTTAAGCAGAACAATCCCACCCAATTTGGTGTTGTCTGCAAACTTACTGAGGTCACTGTCAGCCTGGGTGGTGGTCGAGATCACAATATTGAGTGTATTTAGAGAGGTCATAGTAACCAGAAGAGCAGCCCTGCTAGTGAAAAAGGCAGATGGGAAGCAGTCTCATCCCTCAGAGCAAGACTCTCAACAACCACATGTACTGTGTTGATGGCTGTAAGGCAAAATATGTGCTGCAAAGGAAAAGCCCCAGTGCTGCAACCTATGTTATTGCAGTTAGCTCTTTTCAGCAGAGTGGTCCTGGGCAAGGTGGGTGGGCTGCAGCCCACAGCACAGCCTGGCAGAGCAGCAGTTGCCTGGGCAAGGTGCAGTGAAGCTGCTGCACTGAAGGACCGGTCCTTGGCACATGGTGGGTGCACCAGGCCATCTGAGGCAGAGTGGAGTAGCACCCATACAAATCCCCAGCAGCTGGGGGTGGACAGGAGAAGCTCAAAAATATGCATATTCTCAGCTCTTGGAAATTTGCTGAAAATCATTTCTGGGAAATCAAGGGCCTCGTGGTGGTTTGCATTCTGTTGCTTACAGCCACCCTCTGGGGGAGCAAAGAGGTCAGAAAAGCAGGGACAGAAGGGTATTGAAAATGTCCCTTTTGGCTATCCTTAAATTAAGGATTGAACAACACAGATGGGATAAATGAGGCAGAAGAAGAAATCCAGCATAAACATTCCCTGTAGAGTGCCTAAAATGAAGACATTCTTGGTGTGGAACAGGACAGTGACCAGAAGGCATTTTCATCTCTCTGATTTTTTCAGGGAGAGCTCTCTGAAGACCGTTCAGGTCTTGCTATAGAAAAGGACAGGAACAGTAATTACCAGCCCTGTATCCCTCCAGATCTGTATTTCCATCCTTGGAATGTATGCTGGTTTTCACAGGCACTCCACCCGCTGCCACGGGCCTGCCAGCCAGTGCTGGAAGGGGCAGGTGCTGGCAGAGGCAAAGGCAGACAAGTTCAGCCTGTGCTGTACTGCTGTCACTGGTGAGTGGTGCAGGTCATTTGACCTGTCCAAACTTCATGACCTGTCCTAGTCATGAGGTTGTGCTGGAGTGGCCTGGCTTCAGATTTTTCATTTGTCAGATGTGGCCATATTTAACTTCAGACCCAAGGAATTGCTAATGACAGGCTAGTAAATAGAGTGCAATTAACTGTCTGATCATTAATTTTACTTAAGCCACCACCCATTTTTGAAAGCAACTTGTTTGCCACTCTTCGGTCAGATTTTGTTGTCCAGTATAATACTACCAAGCTTTTCAGTGTCTTGTATCAGCTACCTCTAACTAGGTAATAAGCCACACAAATGCATTCTAGGTGAATGTGCCCATCTTACTTGCACTGCAAATTGTAATATTACCTTTTGTACTTCAGCATGTCCTGAAATTCAGTCTGAAAAACTATGGTGCCCTACAAGCAGATGTGGCGTTTATGGTAGTGCCCTGTACATGAAGCTCACTTGTATGTGGAGTCATTGTTACCACCACAGAAATATCTAGCTAGAGAAAATATGAAGAACAGATTGATTATTTTTTTTTAAGAACTGACTCATTGCAGAAGTACACATGGAAAGAAACAATCACCACAAAAAATAATTTTAAAAAAACACTCATTTTTAAAAAATGTATTCATAGTAGAAATAGAAATAAATTCATTACAGGCAGATGAATGCTGGAATTGGTAAATTGCTATGTAATCTTTTCCCAGATTAAACTTCAAATCTGACTGGGACTGAAGTTAGCAAGATTTGATCTGGAGTCAAAGGCCAATCTTGATTTTTCTGCTGCCTGCTTGCAGAGATATACTGAAATAGAGTAAGTTTACACTGTATCCTCAGCAAGAGTTGTTAACAGTTCAAGATAGCTTTTTCTTCTAGTTTTCATTCTTATGTCCTAGTGTTTGCATCACTGTCAATAGCCAGGCAAGAGCAGAGTGCAACCTTTAGTCATAACATACCAAGGATGGACTAACACTTAACAGGAATCACATACCTGAAGAGGTGGTAGTGAGTGGTCTGGTGATAATGGTTTGAACCACACATTAATGAGGTCTCAAACATGTTTCTTTTATAAATGATGCTTCAAAAATTTTAAGAACAAATTATTCAAAGAACCAGTTTGAAATAACTTACCTCACACAGTAGGTACATTTAAAAAATCCCTGGAAGACAAAGTGCTTTAAAAGTACATTGTCCTCTATTCTGTTAGTCCCCAGTGCAGCATGCTTATTGTTATTTCCTAAAAAGTAAAATTATATTTGAGATCATGGAGCAACTGTGTTCCAAAAATGACTATTTTTTAATACATTGCATTCCTACTATAAAATAAATTTGCAATTTCCAAGTTTTTATACTGGGAGTTCTTGCACTGGACTTGTTGCTGGAAACCTGTTGCAAGCCTTACCTTGTAATCCACAAGCCTGAGGTAGCAGGCGTTTGTACTCAGACAAAATTCCAAATAAAAACTGTCAGCAAGCCTTTGGCTGAATGACAAAACAACTCTGGAGGGGTTATCTGATGTAATCTGAAGAAAAGGCCTAGACACAAAAATAGTAAATTCATTCATGTGAGCAATACCGTTGAAATTCAGGCATTTTTCTAGACAGTGCTGAGCAATCCATGTGCAAAGAATAATGTAATTCAAGCTCATGAGTAACCTCATGGACTTCACAGGCTTTTTGAACATGCTTCCAGAAGCAAAGGGAAACTGTAGATGTATTTATTTCAAGAGTTTCAACTGAGGTTTTTTTCACACCTCCTTTTGTTGCAGTAGGTTAGGGACATATGCAGAAAGACTCAAAATGTTTGAGGAAGACTGACTCAGTGTCTTTAGTATGAGTGTAAATGTACACAACTAATGGTATGTTAAAAGTGTGAACACCCCCACAACTTTCATGCAGTCAGACTTGTGGGGTTCTTGATTTACTTACTTTAGAGACTGGGAACTGCAGCGCTGGTTAAGAACATAAGAAATTAAACCATGCCAGTTTCCAGTTAAAGTTTATCCCAAACATTAACCTTTTTTAAACTATCTCTGTACTGTTTCCATCTGAAAAGTCAAGTTCTTACAGAGTATTTTTGATGCTTTGAAAAGCAACTGCTTTATGTAGTACAGATACAGACTCTGTATGGACATCTTCCACTGCAAAAGAAGGAATCCCATTAAAGGCTCAGGAGCAATTACAATCTAAAAAAAATAAATTTTTGAGGAAGTGCATTGTCTTTTCATCCATGTGTATCTCTATGCATTGGGGCTGAGAACCTTTAAATTATGACCACCTGTCATTCATCTCTTTCTCTCCTTTTAAGAGAATATTACAGATTTAATGCAGATTTTTTAACAGCTGCCTGTGTATTTTGTAGTAGATGTGTGCAGTGTAATCATGCACTAGCAGCTGAACAGTTCCATTAGCACAGACAGCAGCAGACAGGTACCTCGGCAGTTCTTCCATCTCACCAACCTCCTCTGCATCTGCAGTGCCTGGGAAGGTACACACCTCCCTCTCCCTCGCAAAGAAAGAAATTACCTCATGCCCTCTGCAGTACCTCAGACCAATCAAATCCATTGCAGCTAAAGAAACTCAGCCTGATTTAACTCCCACTGACAGCAGTTTCATGCCATGCATTTTAGGCTTTAGTAGAGTCACTTCTGCTTGCCATTTGGTGATGCAAAGCAGGGCTTACACAGGTGCCTTTTTTTTTCTTCATATAATAGTCAAGTTTTTGCAGGTTTAATCAGGGTAACTGTTAAAGATTGTTGCAGCTATGATATTAATAATTTTTTCCAGTTTCATTTTTTTTACTATTAAAAAAAAAATGTGTGTTTCTCTTACATTCAGATAAGAAAATACATTATGATCTAATATTGCAAATGCTTACTTTCCTTTTGTGGCTTTTGCATCACAATGAACAACTACAGCCCACAGATACTTAGCTCAGTGTCCAAAGGGCAGCATCACATTTTCTGCAGATATTGCCTGTCTTGCTTTACTTGCCTGGTTTAACTTTACTTTTTTCTTCCAATGTGAAAATGTCATTATATACTAATTTAATTCTGCTCCAGCAGAAGTTTTATTGAATAACCTAAGCCTATAAGCTTTTTCCATCAAATATCTATGCTGTTGTTATTGTCATGTATCTAGCAGCTTGTGAAGTAGTATGAGTTATTCTTATGCTGTAATTTTCTGTATGAACAAGTTAATAAGTACATGTTTAATGTCTTATAAATGCCTTCAAAAAGTCTATTGTGTCAAATAATTAATTCAGAATTTACCAACTGAATTTTTAATTTTGATACAATTTGCTTCAGATGTGGATTTCTGGGTTCCTGGTATAACACCTGATCTGTAGCCTGAGAAGCTCTTGGCTTCTTAGCAAAATACATCAGTTAGAAGAGGCTACAGAGACGTTACTGTACACTGCAGAGCTGGAAAACCTTCAGTTCCTGCCAGCAGAAAATATTACATGATCTGATGTTAGCAGGGTTAGAAAGAAGCCACATCCATTCCACTGCCTTCACACTGGAGCACTGTCTGCCTTTATCTTGTGGATTGGCATTAATTATGATACTGTATATAGCATGTTCTCTACAACTTCTCCTCAGGGCAGACTACACAGCCTGTAGTTCCCCGTGTCACAGCACTCACTCGTTTTAATTTTTGGTAAAATGGCAGTTTTTTTCCCAGACTAAACAGAACTTTTCTAGGGTTTAAGCAGTTGCTTAAGTTCAAAATTATTCATATTATTTTTAATTAACTCCTTAATAAACTGCAGATTAATTGTTCCCTTAAGTGAGGGAGGTTCACATTGCTAGTTATCTTCTAACAAACTGTAGTAGATAATGATAGAATATAAAGTATCTCCCCCTTACTGCAATGTATTATCTTAGTGCTACTTTCCAGAGAAAATTATAATTTAGTTTAACTCTATTTTCTGCATCCTGACTGTCAGCTTTACCCTCCCTGCCCACTATCTGATCTGGCTAGCTGTTAGGGTTTCATCTGTTCCAAGTTTATGTAAGAAACTTCACCACTTGTGTTCATCTGCACAAACAAAAGTGGTTTGATCAATAACTTCAGCTTACAGCTTTAGGCATACTCTCACTTCAGCAGTAAGGGCTTATGCCCAAATCTCTGGTTTATAATATAAATTCAGCATAATGGGAAATTATTCAACCATTGGTATTCTCTATTCAGAGCTAAGCAGATCAGTACAGTTAAGTGAATACTGGAGCCCTCCAGAGGGTTACATCTAGTTTATAGCAGCGCCCAGTGAGAGCTCAGCCAGACTGCAGCCTGCCTGTGCTAAGCAATGTACAGATGCAGATGCATAACCTTTGCAAACCTGTGTGCAGTGACTTAGCCTTTCTAGTATCAGTATTTCCACTATTTTTAGTATGGCTGACTGTGTAGGACAAAAAAATTAAGAAAGTGTGTCAGGGTTTACGAGCCCAGGGACACAACCAGCAGCTTGTGCAGGTTTGCCAAAACTAACAGCAGCACATGAATGAAAGGTGTTTTGCCCAAGGCTACATCAGTTACATTAATAGCATTACAAGAAAAGCCTGTTATGTTGATAGATGAGAATCCAGCTCTTCAGTAGATGTGTTGCAAGTAATCTTATCCTAATAGCTCTTAGGAGTGATAGCACTTACAAAGCAAAATGTTTGCAGCCAGGAACAGAGGGACATGATTTGCAGCAGCTACACAGCACTTAGACCACAGTAGCTCTGAGGCATATTTTCTTTCTGGGTTTGGGCATCCTTCCAGATGTAGCAGAGATGTGAAAGGCTACCTATGTAACATGAGGTTACAAACCAGGTTTAGCTTGGAAGGCATCTATGGAGATCATCTAGTCCATCCCACAGCTCCGTCCAACAGCATCAGGTTGCTCAGGGACGTGTACAGTCAGGTTTTTAATAGCTCCAAGGATGGAGAGTCCACAGCTTCTTTGGACAACCTCTTTGAGTTTTTTACCATCTCGATTGTAATTTTTTTTCTTACACCTGGTTAGAATTTATACTATTGAAACATGCACCCTGCTTATAAGAAGATGAAGAGAAAAATGCTTCTTCAATAATCTTCTGCAATAGAGAAATAATGCCAAATAAAATTAAATTTGTATAAACTGTCTGAAGCAAGCAGATAATATACGTGGAAGAATCTTTTTGCAACTTTGTCCTTTACTGGAGGACCAATAATTACTAACTAACTCTGGACAAGACAGAATTAGTATTATTTCAAACCTTTATCAGTTTAGTTTGCCTTGTGATGCCTTTAGGCATTATATTTGCTTGCACACCATTTTAAGTCAACAGAGCTACTCAGAGCATGTACATTACAGAAAGTATATTAAATATTCAGGTTTTGAACTGCAGTTTTACATAGTTCAAGGGCACAGCAGTCTAGGATGGCCCAAATCCAGACAGCCCAAAAATCTGTATGAGACAGGTGCAGACAGCAAAAATGACAGTCACACTAACAACCGTGCATTGCTCAGCACTCCAGATTCCTGGGGAAGTAGTTCCTGTTCCTCCTCTGCCCAGGCAGGTTTCTTTCCTTTGTCCCCACACTACACCTGAGCCTCTAGGTAAGCCCTGGCTCAAGGCTACTGGACCACAGTTTTTTGCTTCTGAGCGGTTGGTTGCAGTGGCAGTTCAGCCCCAGCTGCTGAACATCCTGAAGAAAAATCTACTAGAAGTGTGCAAATCAGATGTGCAACTGAGGACACTGTGAGTTTGCAGATGCAAACCCTGTGCTGTAGTGCACAGACAGCCTGCTAGCATGTAGCAAACCTGACATTCAGAACACAGAGAAGGGCATGTTGAAGTTGTGAGGAGTCTCATCTGTGCCAGATGTCATGCACTTCTGTCAGGAAAATGACAGGAACACAGCAGTCTTTCCACAGGGTGCCATGCAGGTGCTGCCTACAGCTGCTGGGCTCAGGCTAGTTCTGAGAGGGGTAAAAACAGGTTTTCACTGTACTGTGTAAGGTAATATCTGTGGTATGGATATTGATCATTGCTGTTCAGAATTTACTCTTATTTCTCACCTATAATTGGATTATCATTTTTTTGAACATTGCTGCAAGAATTTTTCCCTTCTCAGCTTTTTACTTCAGTCATTTCTAAATCTCTGAGCTGAACTAAGCCAAAATATTCATGTATAGGCTACACTCAAAGCTCATTCAAAGGGAATAATATGATTATGAGTTCTTGAAAAGTAAAAATAGATATTTTTTTTCATTTTAACTCATTCTCTTTGTTGCTATGTTATTACTAAAAATGGTTGTATTATTAACTAGGCAAAGCACTGGTTTTATTAGGAGTTTTTGTCCAACTTTTCTGTTCCAGAAATACGTGTTTTAGCATCCATAAGAAAATATGCCCACATCTGGAAATAAATTCCAGTAAATCTCCATTTGTGCATGCCTGCTTGCAAACATTAGAGAGCAAAAGCCATTGAAAATCATGTTGTGGTTCTGCATTATCTTTTCTGTTTTCTTCTAATAATGAAAAATGTCACCAGCTGAAGTGTTCTGGACACTAAGTCCTTCCAGTATCTGGTTCACTTCACACTGGAACATCGCTTGAGGATAGGCAAGTGCCCAAATTCATACCCAGCAGCATCTGCCAAAATATGTAACAAAGGCTGCCTGACCCCCCTTAACTCAATATACCCAAAAAAACCTGACCTTATGAGGCAGGTACATACACACGTGTGCACAAGCTTCAGACAGAAACACTCCCTTCACTCCAAAGAATGCTGTCTCGCCTAACAGGATCCAATAAACAGTTATTGGTGCTTATGCTGTGCCTAATGGTCTTGTGGTAGTGGGTAGGGGCAAATCCACCCTCTCCATGGGAATGCTGAACTGTTCCCAGGACACTTCCCTGTGGTGCATTGTAAGACTTGCTTTTTCTTAGCAGGCTCAATGGCAGAAGTTGTGTTAGTCTGCCAAGGCATATGGCTTTGCAGGGCCTGCACACTGGTTCTGTTTGCTGGCAGCTGTGGTTTGGGACACTAGATCAGAGAGACAGTTCATCATTATGTGAAGGCACTAAGTATGGAGACTGAACACAAAGCATATGATGAATTTGGCAAACAAGATTAATGCTGCATTCTTACCCATCAACACTTAAGGAGCAGCAGAAAAAGACTCAGCATGGTAGGTGGGATTATACTGCCTTGCTGACATGGGATGACCAGTAACGGCTCCACAATGTCTGGAGGGTGTCATGGCTGTAAGGCAGGTACTCCAGTCTTTCAGGGCCATGGTGCATGACTGAAGGAATCCATTCAAGTACTGAAATGGGCTCTCAGCAATTCTACTTTGCAGTCCAATACATTTAGCAGATTCAGGGTAGGCTGTTCATGTGGAATGCAAAAGCAAAATGGCACTGGCTTGAAAATCACCTGGATGGCAAGACAGCAAAAGCATGTACCTACAGCTGTGACTTGCTTTTATTACAGTCTATAACTGGAACACTAGAGATGAACATTTTTTTGTGTAGCAGAGCCTTCATAATGATGCATCCCTTAACCAAACAAATCACCCTCATAAGAACTCTACATTTAAGGGTAAAAGCAGGCAACAGAAATTAGGGATGCCATATGTGCTCAAGTTCATGCCGTGCCTGACAATTCTAATGAGTAATTACTCACTGCAAATGCATGTGCTGTTTTGTGGATTGTGAACTATTCTTAGACATGTTGTACCGAGAGCTTACAGATTTTGAAGTGCTTCTTTTGCCTTTTGTAGTCAGGTTTTTTTGAGAGCTCCTAGGATGAAGACACTGTTAATCTTTATAGAGTATTTTGTGACTAATTAATTGAAAGGACTTACGTAGCTGAGGGCTTTTATTTTCCTTTACAGAATAAAATATCAATTAAAATGTAAATCTCTGCGATTGCTGGCTTGGGGACATGGGGATCCCTATAACTGAACTGTGTAGATTATTCACTGCTTTCCAATACATTAATAATATGTTGGCACGGCTACTCCTTTTTTTTTCCTTACAATTAAATGGAAAATACTAAGTGTTAAAAACAAACAGTGACCTGTATTAATTTTGCCAGCGTATGCAAGGGGTTTAAAATTTTTGTGCAGTTAGAACAACTGATTGATAATAACAATAGCTGTGCCTATAAAATGGCTGCAATCTGCATGAATGAAAAATTATGAAAAATGCAGGAGTTTCACTTACCTCCTTGCCTCTCCTCATTTCCTTTCCCTTTTGCATCCTTACTTGGACATGTGATGCAGGGCTGGCTAGAGACTAGAGAACAGTTTCTCCCCTTCTTTCACTTGCTTGAGCTTGTCCATCTCCCTGGAGTTGTCTTCACTCTGCAGTAGCAAAAATTGAAAGGCCTGATTAACTTCCTACTAAGCATCTGCAAAGGAATCTTTGCAGTGAAAGGCACATGCATCTCTCCAGAAAATAAACAGAGAGATTTGACCCATGCTGAA